ATACACTATAAAGAAGAAACATATGTAAAATATTGCTATTCTATAAATACATTGGCATTATAAATATGAGAAAATAAATTTGGAGACCCCTGTCGGTCACATGACCCTCATCTTGCACTCTATGACATGCAAAAAGAGGGTCTCCCAAGGCAACGCTGCTGCAACTTATTGATCCAAAACTTTTGGACTGGTTAGACAGGGCAGCTTGAGATAACAGTGGGATGTATGTAAGATTATAGCCAAACTGTACATGTTGTATTCACACTTCGCTGAGATCCACACACAATGCAAGCCAGACCACATCTGAATATAAATACCACTACATCCAGATGTGGTCTAGACGATGTGATTGAAATGTTTTCTGTTTCGTGCATTTACACCTTGCATTATCGTCCTTACTTAGATAAAATATCCAGGTACTGATCACATGTTAAGCTTTCTGAACTAACTACGTGGTATTTGCCTTTTAGACTTTACCATCTCAGATATCAGGATCCTTTTTTTTACAGGACCCCCCCCCCCACCCGGCTGTGACAGGGTGTGCTATACAGTCCGACAGGTGCAAAAATATCATTGGCTGTTATAGAAGGAAAGGTGTTGTGTCTCCTTCAGCTCGAGACTCTCGAGTCAGTGAGCTGACATCAGGTCACCCTGTAAACCACCTGACACAGCAAGAGGTGCTCTGATGATGGGTCAGACGTAACGAAGACGCTGCGATCAGCTTAAGCTTCAGGATACACTAAACAGCTCTGATTTATTTGTGAGGAAAGGACTTGTAATGAATGTTTTCAACGTCACACACTTTAATCCCTTGAACTAAATTCCAAATAGAATGTCAGCAAAATGCAGCAGTAGCCCCTGGCTGTGCACTATTGCGCTACTATCCAACATGGCTGTCTTCTTTCACAGTTGGATCTTCTTCCTAAGAGACCTGCAGGCCCTGCGTCAATCACAAAAATTATTCAAATGGCTTTGACCTCAGTGTTTTTCAGTGACAAGTCTTTTTATAGCAGGCGGAGCAGCAGAGATGGGCGGGGAGTGAGAGTAGGAGGGAGGGGAGAAAAGATGTGGATAGAATGAGCTTTCTGTGGACAGCTCAGTCTGTCCTCTAAACTCATACATTCTTCAGTCTGTCAGAGGGGGAGCCACAGGCTGACGCATGTCTCTCTCCTCGCACAGACAGTTAATGGTCACAGTGCCACAAAAAGCTACACTCAGAGGTAGATGAATATCCAGAGGTAGTGCATAGGCATTCATTTTTGGGGGGGAAGACAACATTGAGTTATTGCTTCATGTTTCAGCCTACAGCTATTTTTTCTTCTTTTTTTAAGTTGTCATGTTGTTGTCTTGTCTTTGTCTAGTTAGTTTTTAGTTCTACATGCTGCTGCTGTTCAGAATCCCAATATAATCCCCCAGTACAAAAATACACAAGCTAGCTGGTCTATCAATAATTATAAATTACAGACTTCGTTTTTTTACCTCTTTTTCTTTCAATTAAAGGCTCAGTACACAACTGAAGTACTACATATGATCAATTTTCAAAGGATCATACTTCACTCCAGAGCTTTTACAATGTACTATAGGTATACATTTCACATCATCTTAAACCTCACATCTACAGAATATTCTCAATCCACAGAGCATTACATTCAATAATCCAAATGAGATTATACCATAAAAGAAATCACACAAATTTAAGTTTTACGAGTCTCTGATTCTCTACATCTCATTTTAATGTGCAACAGTTTTGCATTAATATAATTAGGTTTGCAAATTATGATAAATTTTATGATCAGTTAATATGCAGAATATATTTTTTAGTTAAACATTGATTGTTTCATCCATGAAAAAAATGCCCACAACTCAGAGTCCAAGGTGATGTCTTCAAAGGTCTTTTGAAGACATTGGCCTTGGCCTTGCTTTACAATAGCCTATCCACATACAGCCCGAGAAATACATAAATGTTCAATAAAGACCAATTGTTGTTGTAGTGTTTGTTAGACAGACTCTTTATGGCTGTAAAAACAGACCTAAAGGAGGTCTATTTTGTATGTGGTTGAGACAAATGACAGTATTTCATTCTTTTGGTGTTGTGCTTTTGTTTCTTATTGATCTCTTGATAATCATCTGTTTACCCAACATATAGAGCTGCAACTAACTATTATTTTCAATAATAATGAATCTGACAGTTATTTTCTTGATTAATAATTTGTACAAATTGTCATCAAGATATTGCAAAACATGGCTGCAACAGTCTCCTAAAGCCCAAATTGATGTCTTCAAATAGCTTATCAAGTCTGATCAACAGTCAAAGACAAGAAAATATCTATTTACTATTATACGACAAAGAAAAACCAAACATTTTATCAGTTGAGAAGCTGGAATATCAGGCACAGAATAAACAAGAAGTCGAATAAAGCACAGACACAAAACACAATATCCCAGTGAGATTCAATGTCAACACCTTATTTTCATTGGTATTTGTTCTTACCTTGTATTTAACGACTTTTGACTCAGTGGGTCTCTTGTTGGCATTTCTTGTTTCCAACAATCCTTTTCAAACCTGGCTTGGATTCCTGTTTTGGCGACACTTCTGCTGCCCATAACTCCTTCACATGAGTGAGTAAATGCTTGGATTTCAACGCTCAAACACCAACATTTCACAAGAATAAAAAACAAATGCATTTCTACTGTATTATTAATGTCCAATACCCTGTATTCAAAGGTGTGTCATGACAGTTGAAGGTCTTTTGAAATTGTCAATCAATATAAATAGATCATTGATGACGATGCGATAATGTGTAAGTAGCATTTTACTGTTGTTAAGGTGACGCGCATGTTAACTGCTTAATATGTTGATGGGTAGTTCAATCTACATTAGTACAGTTTAAGCCAATTACATGTTTTGTATGTAAAATGTTAACTTTTACTTTTAAAATGAATGACTTAAGCCGTCAATTGTGGTGGAGTAAAAAGTACAATATTTCCCTCTGGGATGTAGTAAAGTAAAAGTATGAAGCTGCATGAAATATAAATACTCAAGTGAAGTACATGTAGCTCACATTTGTACATAATTACAGTACTTGACTGAATATGCTTAGTTACATTCCACCACAAAATTTTATTTATACATTTCCAGTCATGAAAGTGACAAACCTTGTTTACTATATAACATATCCATCTGTTCCTGTGCCTCCTATGTTAGAGATTGGATGGTATGTTAAGACGATGATTAGCATATATGATGCAAATGAAAAAGTGATACAAAATAAATAAAATAAAAACGGCAAAAAGATACTCTTGGATTTTTCATTCATAATTGTTTAATGCCATTAGAGGCAATTATTGAGTGTGTCATTGATTGCGTCGTGAATCAAACACCCTGCGCTGACGTATACTGGGCGCAATCTACCAAGATGGACTCATTCATTGTACCTCTGTGCTCCTAAAGCCTCATGTCCACTGCAAATCTCTAAAATTAAAAAAAGGTTTTCTAAGGCACTATTTTTGCGTATTCTTTGCACAAGATTGTGTTTGTTTTTTTTTTAGCCAATCCCTGTTTCAAGTGAAGACATTCATCCTGTCTGCAGGTTTGTTCGCAGCAGTTTTGATGATGCTCACTGTGTCTGACTGCCGTTTCAGAGACGTGGTTCAAAAGCAGTAGCTATTAGCTATCTGCTACTCTATTTCTGGATTGATCAAGTCTACAATAACAGCAATGTCTTGCAATATATTTACTGTTAACCGAGGTTACTGTTTCCATGGGGATTGAGCAATCGCAGTCGTAGATAACAATAATTTATAATCACTTATTTTCCTGTCTTATCATCTGCCCCTGCATCGAGAAACAAACATCAGTTGTTTTAGAATTTTGGAAAAATGCAGTGTATTTTCGTATGTTTATATGTCACCGTCCACCCTGACACTGGTTACACTGGATATACAGTACAATCGCCCTGCAACTGAGTCTGTCTCTTGCCTAAATAAAAACCGAAAAATACCTGTCGAAACAGTGGATCAGAAAAATTGGAGCTTTAACAGATATGAAGACATGATCCCTGATCATACACTTATTCCTGAGACAATCCTGAGAAAACACGGAATGTCTGAAATGTAGTGTAGTAGAAGTATAAAGTTCCAGAAAATGAAAAGTTTGGAGATTGAAAAATTGGGAGCATTTTGATTGCCTCTCAACGGCTCTCAACATCGCAAAAGCAGCTTGCAACTAGCAATGCTAGCAGCGCTAACAGTGTAAACAATGAGAAAACAAAGCAGTGATAGCCTGAGAGTGAACCGGAACGTGGCTGCTAAGCTTCCGTGACAAGCGGCGGCCATGAGCTAGTTAGTGGGGCCTCTGCTCAGGAAAACATTACTCCCTTACATTTTAAATAGCAAATAGTTGTTTACTGCTATAATAATGTTCAGAATATCAAGTTTAGCACCTTTACATTTTTATCTCCACCAATTTAGCATTTCATTATTCTTGATGTAGTTTAATAAAAAGGATAAAAATCGATGCAGCAGAACCAGAGATATCATCGTTTTTTTAATCGTCTTTAGCTGTGTGTCATGGGTGTGTCATGCTAGGAGCGGCTAATGTAACCTCGAACTACTACACTCAAGCAGAGGTGAGGAGCGAGCTACAGAGGTCTCACTTCTTTTTAACTCCACATCCTCAGATTCTTCAGTCTCAAACTGATGCCGACTCGTTAAAATCAACGATATATTTAAGATTTTGCTGTTATGAGGCAACAGCTTAACACGTGAATTCTGAAATATTTCAATGACATCTGAAATTCAAACATCCTTGCTGTAGGTATTGTATGTGTGGTGAGTTTGTAGATGCTGAGTTAGTGTTCAGAAGAACCCACGCACACGCACACTCATACATTAACTTTACAGCATTACGTCCTGCATGGCGAGTAAAATAGTACAAAACGCAGTACATAAGACCACGTACAAATATTGAGGATAAACCTTTCAGAATTTAAAAAGTGGTAATCTCTCCCATGTCTTTTTTATTGTTTTGTTCGGATACTTTACACATCAATGTGAAATGAAGGCGTAGTATAATTTTCTTACCATAAATGGTAAACAGTGAGATCCAGAGAAGAGTTTAGTGAAATTAAAGAAGCAAAGTATCTAAAAGATTAAATGTCTTGATGTAGTCCACGTCCACTGATGTCAGAAGGGAGGGACATTCAAACTCATGACATCATGACATCATTTCATATCAGATGAAAACGTAATTTTAGACAGTTAAATGTTACTTGCACCATTTAGTTTCCAAGGTAACGAGAAGGGTATATTTAGAGTGCACTAAACTGAGACAGAAGAAAAAAGGTGTTAATAATCTTGATGGAGCAATTACAGTTAGTCAAAGTCCAATAGTGACGATCAAAACACCTCAGCTGCTTACAGTCGAAGGTAAGAGAACGCTGAAGAACAACCATCCGGCTCATTCAGCACCACTTCTGACACTTCATGCGTCATTCAGTATTTAGTGGCATTACTGATCCATATGGTACAGTAGAGGTTTCACTTGAGCGACTCATCAAGGGAGGTTCAGGAGAAATACAGACGTCAATGAGAAAAGGTGGGTTTTTTATATATGTTGAAATATTGAGCTGTAATAACCACCTTATATGCTGTCAAACATTGGCAATGCAAGAAAATCTCATTGATTAAAATAACACACATAAATTAAAGTCTTAATTCATCACTCACATGCAGTGTCATCATTACAGTGCTGTACCAAACAAGAGGTGTTTGTATTGTACAATTTGGGGGAGAGAAAAAACAAAAAACAGAAGGCTAACAACACAAAGTTCACATCGGGCATATTGTGTGGAAATCCATTGTCTCTCTTACCCAGAGTTCACCCATCACTGTGCAGTGCCCGAACCAACCACTGATGCAGTGTCAAGGACGACAACCCTCACTGGCTTCCCACAAGTCCGATTGTGTTCATTGGGTCAAGTTAGTGAGGTTCTCTGAGTACCCATGTGCAGAATAAAATCCTACTTTTACAGCCAAGAAGAAAAAAAAGAAATATAGCATCTGAAGAAGAAATTATAAAGTGGAGAGCTAATGTGTAACTGCATCTACACCCTTCACCTAACTTGCTTTGAGTATCAATTTAAAACAGTTACTCTAGATGTAAAAAAGCTCAAAAGATTTGATGAAAAAAGAAACAATTTCTGTCCTCTCATAATTGTCGTCACATAATTAACGTCGGAGTGCTGCCCTCAGTTTAGCGGAGCGTCCTCGAGGATTCTCTTTTACGTCGTCCTTTTCTGGGGTGATCACTTTTCTTCGCAGAGGAAGCCAATCAACACTTCCACCATCTATTTTTTCATCCACCAGTTTCCCCTTCCCAGCGCCTTGCTTCCTCGGGCTGAAGTGATACTGATCTAGATTAGACAAGTCATCTCCCTGGAGGAAGCGTTTTACCAGTCTGTCTTCTAGCGAATGAAAGGTGATCACGCAGAGACGTCCTCCAGGCGTCAGTAGCGACCGGGCAGCACGCAGCCCTGCATGTAGTTCGTTCAGCTCATCGTTCACAAAGATACGCAGAGCTTGGAAGGTCTTAGTGGCCACGTGTGCAGGTCTTTGGAGTCGGTCTTTACGTGCATAGAGAACAGCTGCAGGAAATGATCCTAGAGACAAAGAGATGGGCAGAGTGAGTGGGTCTAAACAGAACTAGAATACCTGCCTCAACCAGTCATGCTGCAGTTCATTCATGTCTGTCCAAAATGTAATCACTTCATCATTTTATCCTATTAGACATTTGTGTAAAATTGTCATAATTAACATTTGAAATCTTAAGTTATGGCCAAAAATATGTTTTGTGACCTTTGACCGCTAAATTCTAATCAGTTCAACCTTGAATGCAAGTGGACGTTTGTGACAAATTTGAAAACATTCACTCGAGGCGTGAATCCTGTGATACCGCATTCATGAGAATGAACCAGACAGACGGACATCGAGACAACGTGATGGCTTTCCAAACAGCTGTCGCCAGCGTGGAAACAATAACAAATTTGAAAAATGTTTAGGAGAGGCTTAAAATATTTACAACTTTAAAAAAATGTAAAATGAGACCCGAACACAGGAAGACTGAAGGATACCAAGAGGGGCAGATGAATACAACAAGATGGGTGTGGTCATTAAGGCTACAAAGATAACTTGATAATTGAACAGAAAGTTAAATACATTTTTAAAACAAATAATAATTTAAGTTATTCTTCAAGTCCATTTGCATGGAGCAGGATGTCATTTGCTTCCAGACACAAATTCATTTGTCTTTCTCACTTTGCACAATTCAATCAGATTTAACCCAATCATACAAAATCGCAAAACTCTTCAATTTCCTACTCTAAGAGCTCTATTTATGTTATTTTCTGCCCCGCGTGCTTTCAGCTCCACCATGGGAAAGGGCTGCCCCCTCTCGGTCGATTAGTCGACTAATTGGTCATTTTGGTCTTAGTCGACAAAGAGTACTTTCGTCAAGTTAGTAATTTTCATGCTGAATGACATATTTCCAAGAAAGGTATTAACACAAGCGTTAAAGTGATGCTTTTGTGTGATTCCTTGTTAGTAACTCAGTTTTACACATCTATCAATTAAATCAAGTAATCAGTTAGACACAATCATATGAGTGTTAGTCGACACTAAGAATTTCTTTGGTCGAGGACAGTCCTACAATGGGTTTGTATTCCGCTAAGTGATCTCCAGTCTGACTACACCCTAGAAAATCCATCCACCATAACAACTGGAATGACATTTGGAGGGGTTGTTAGCATTCATAACCAGTTTCAGACTATCAATTAATGTTTGGGGGTTTTTTGTATCATGATTATGAGCAATACTTTTCATAACTCTGACCATAACCTCGGTCTTCCCTAAACTTTACCACGCAAAGCTTTCTATAACATCAGAAGGACAATGTCATACAATACGTAATCCAAATGCAATAAAGAATGCACAGGGACAAAAAGAAAACACTGAAAAAGCTCAAGAGGTTCAACTCTGAAGGTCCATCTACAAAACAAGACACGCCTCTGTGAGTTCAGCAATATATTAGTTTTGGACGGATAAGAGAGATCATCTGACGGAGGAGTGAAGGAGGCCTTATGTGTCAAACTTAACCTTCCATGAACACAGCGGGGGACTGCCACACCACTCATCAGCTACCGCATCACCAATCCATACCTCCACTCTTGTAACTCTGACTCATGTGACCTAACCACTTATATATGACCGTAACATCCAACAGGTGTTATCAGTGTGTGAACAACACAAAAGAGGCACAGAACTCGAGATCTCTCCACCGGTCAGCGGATTAAAAGATGCTCTTGATTATGAAAACATACAACTGTCTTGGTACTAGTTTGACTGATAATCATCAGACATACGTAGCCGAGGAGTCATTAAATCAAGAAAATATGACGCAAAAAGAGATTAATTGACATAGCAGGATCTAGCACAAAACATAGCTTCTTGGAAAATACATGCAAGCCAATGTAAGCAGTGGGGAGAGAGACTGCCTGAGCGGCAGGTCCTTCAGAGGCTCAATGCGGAGCAGATGGAGGGTGGAGGTGGTGTTGATATGGTGGATGTGTCCCTACAGTACCGAGATAAATGCAGCCAAAAACCTCTCAAGTTCAAGTTAATTCTTACTGAGCATAAGACATTAGATGACAATGCCATGATTTATGTTTAAAAATACCAAAATATTGTGTTTACTGTAGTTACTGCCGTCTGACCGGTGCACTCCGTATTGCTTTCGGTAAAATAAAAAGTGATTTATGTTTCTCTCCTTCACCAAAACCTCTCTCTACTACTGAACAATGTGCACCTGCCTTTTAGAGGTGGGAATGTTTCCATACTAATCTTTTCATATCTCATCCAGTTATTTGAGCGATCCTCAAAATGCATGTGCAATTAAGAGAAAGGCATTACTAACTGCAGACATGCAGAGAGGAAAACTGCACTGAAAGACTTGTGCACCTGTTTGATGAATAACATACAGGGTGCAGAATGCATGAGGATTTAGGCATAAAAAGGGCAATTAAAGGTACAACATATGAGATTGGGAGCATTTCGATTGCCTCTCAACGGCTCTCAACATGGCGAAGAGGAGCCGGCGGCTCATTGTTAACATTGCTATTAGCGCAAACCAAGGAGGGTGGGTCCTACACTTCCGCGACAACGCTGTCAGTTGGGACGGCGTTGTCAGCTGTACTTCATCAACAAAGCAAGGAGAAGCTTGGATAACAACACACACACAAAGGGAGAACGAGTTAATTCTCTGCTCAGACAGACATTACTCCACCATGTCTTTACATAGCAAATAGTTGTTTGCTGCTAATGTTAAACTCAGGTCATTTAAAGGTTAAGGCTATAACTCTAACTGAAAATGTTTAAAAAATTTGCTGCACATTAAAGTTGGGAAAACATTAGCTTTATGTCAATACATGCGACAAGTTGATTCCACCTTGACCAACTCATAACCCCCACACAGAAGACAAATGAACAATTAGACACTTATATAGACCTGAAGAGAAACTGCAATAAAGTGAGTGATGTGGCATTTCTCTCCTCCTGCACTAAACAGCCCAAGGTGTGACTCACACTGCAATCAATACAAGGACCAGCCCTGGTCTGGCCTCACCAAGCCATGTGCTCTCTGTCCTACAGACAGATCCATGGAAAAAAGAAGAGATTAAGATGTGTACATAAAGAGATCAGGTAGTTACACAGGAAACAGCACTGTGAATGCACTCTACCTTTGTGTTATGTCTCATCTTAAATTCCTATATTTGATGTTTGTAGTGCGCACTAGCAAAGGCAAGAGCACAACTACATTCCACAATAAGATATAAGACAAGTTAAAATGTTTTAATTTGAGCCAAAAATCGCTTGATTAAAATGAAGTGGCATCGCCAAAAATCAGAAAATGCATCAAATCTAAGAGCTTTGTTACACCAGAAAGTTGCACAGTGTAATTAATTTACATGTCCTCACAAAGTGGGTGGTGCTGAAAACGTGGGGATGTTATGACCACTTGCATTGCTAGCTCAAAATGCTGTAGCTGTAGCTGGTGAGCAAACTGGTAACATGCCATCTAACTGGGAATATGCTGGCACTAGCCAGCCACTACTAGCCCACTAAGCTAGTTAACTTCTAGTTAACAAGCAAGCACTTTGGTAGTTAATCATGAAATAATGTAACTTTATTCAAAATAAGTATTTGTATCATTGACTCCTGCCTCATGAATGACTGCAAAACATGCCTCGACGTGCACTTAACACATTTACGAACATTTTTAAAAAAAAATAAGAGGACAAGAAAAATGTCCAAAACTACAAATCAGCTTAGAGCCGATATTCATTTATTGAAGATATATTGGTATGTTGTGCAACTTAGTCCATGTGACAACATTTATATTCATCAAACATTTAAGACTGGAATCTTGGGCCCGAAAGGGAGGCGACCGGGAGGCATCCTGATGCCGGAGCCAATCACCTTATCGGGCATCCCTTTCGAGGTTCTCTGGGCGTGTCCAACAGGTAAAACACCCCGGGGTAGACCCAGAACACACTGGAGAGACTATATATCTTGTCTGGCCTTTGAACATTTTGGTGACAGGAAGAGCTGCAAAATGTTGCTGGGGAGAGGAACGTCTGGAAAACCCTGCTGCCCCCAAGACCTGGTCCTAGATAAGCCGAAGAGAATGGATGGATGGATGGATGGATGGATGGATGGATGTGAAGTGTTTCGATAGCAAAAGGCAGGATGCTTTTGTTGCCATCTTGCGGAACTCTGCAACAGGTTGTGTTTTTCTAAATGCATTTTAAATTGGCAGTGAAAGCTGATGTGCTAATGTTGAATTAATTCAAGTAGATCACTGCACCCGATTTAATGTTGTTGCTCTGGGTCAAAATTAACGTTACACAGCTTGTTGGCATCTCTAAATCAATGCATCCATGACCGACCCACTGGCTATTCACACACACACACACACACACACACACACACACACACACACACACACACACACACAGTTAAATACAGGGTGATTATGCCATTTATTGGGTTGTTGTGTTGAATACATTTGGTGCTGTAACGTAGCTAAATGTAGCTCACTTGACTCCTGCCGTCGGCATTCAGCAAAGTAAACAAATGTTCCTTTCACTCACATGTTGGGTAGAATTCAGCAAAGCTGCTCTGCTTTCCATTCCAGGCTCTTTAGGCACCTTCACAACAACAACAGTTAATGGCTGTGGGACTTTTTCTGTTACCTTCAAAGCTGTATGACATGCGGTTGTGTCTCCATGGCTGCCTCTGCCATGTTGATGTGTTTTTATGCTACATTTTTAGGTCACACATGACTTTCGTGGACAAAAGCCGGTAGCGGATTATTCGCGATACCTTTTTTTCGAGATAAGTCTTTTGAAGAGAAATAAACTGAAACGGGTCAGATATGACTTGTCCGCTGTTCTTGGTACGGCAAAGTTTTAGCCCACATTTTCTTACACTCTCGCAAAAATGATGTGTTGAAGGATTTTTCATTAAGTGGAGAATAACTTTTCTGAAAAAAATAACTCAAACAAACAGCTTTGGCCCCAGGTGTGCATACAACTCCAAAGCCCTGTTCATTCACACAGCCACGCTTCTGTAAACGACCAAATGCTGTATGACGAGGTTACCCAGTCAATGCTGACGCAAACAATTAATGCCGACAACAAAAATGAACGTAAAAATGTTCTTTGCTGCACTTTTTGATGTTTTCATCTAGAAAATTCAGCATTAACTGCTGTGGAATGTGTAAGATAAGATAAGATAAAGTGCAACAAATTAATTTTAAAAAGCCACCAGATCCTCCTACCCTCGTTATTTCTCCTGTGACTTTAAATTTTTCCTGTCAGCATCAACGTCACAATTGTTCACAGAGCCCCCCTGGAACTCTTCAATCAAAACCTCTTGGATTGTTTCAAATAAACATTGGTGGTGACTCGCTTTGCTCTTCAAGAAAGATCAAACAGCTGCTCTTACTCACACCTGTTCTCCCAGGGTGACACTGCTCTGCATACTGCTCTGTGCAATAACTACTGAAAAGACATCTCACTCGCTCAGCCGCTGAGACACACAGTGTCATCAGTGAAGACAAACAATGTAACCCCGGCTTTATGCATGAGTGTGTCATGTGTGTGAGCATATGTGGGTGTTTGCATTTGTGGCAGGTGTGTGTGCATATTTGTGAGCAGAGAAACAGGGAAAAAGAACATAAAAAGCAATGTGGAAGAAGAGAGAGAGAGAGAGAGAGAGAGAGAGAGAGAGAGAGAGAGAGAGAGAGAGAGAGAGAGAGAGAGAGAGAGAGAGAGAGAGGGGGAGAGAGAGAGAGAGAGAGAGAGAGAGAGAGAGAGAGAGAGAGAGAGAGAGAGAGGTGTTTGCTTTCAAGGCATTAGCCACATTCGGTTGCAGCCACCTCCAGCTCTGTCTTTGTCTCAGCTCCCTCAAAGGAAGACGTGGAAGAAAGGCGCCCAAAACAGAGGCAGGAGAGAGGATACTGACTACGGTCACAGTTCACATAATTTTCTGAGACAAATACGTCCCACGGGGAGACAGCCTTAATAACTCCACTCGTGTTTTATTTTCCCTCGTAGCCTCCAGAATGCTGCGGGGAATTAATCAGGATAGTGTCTAGCTACCTGCCACCACGCTGGCCAGCTGCTGTGTCTGGGTGATGGGGTTGACACGGCGTGCCTTCACAATGGCTGAAGCTATTTTCCTGGCGTGTCTTTCTTCCCCATATGCAGTGAGGATGGACGCAAGCGCCTGTTGATCTAAGGTATCCACAACGTCAGCAGCACAGGGCATGTCGGGGTACCTACGCACAAAGAGAAGCCCAATTAAGCTGCTTGACGTCACGTCCTTGCTGACAGTGGTGAATTGTGACAACTCTGAGATAGAGCTGAAAACCTTTATGGCTGACAGTTATGAATGGAATGATTGTGAGGGAATGAAAAGAAAAATGCAGCTTGTGCAATAGCTTATAATGGGTTATCTTAGCTGGTAGCTTTGCACATTGTGTTGCCCTTGTGAAGGTATTCATATTTATTTATGAAAACATTCAAGAAACTTTAAATTGCAATACATATATACATACATATCTATTAATCCATCTATTTATCTATCAATCAATCAATCTGTTTTCACACACACACAATTAGAAGGACATGCATGTCTCCAACAGGGTTTTAGATTACACACTGTCCCACTTGCGTAGTGTTACACATCAGCCTTTGATAATATTGACTTATAACGCTGCCATAAGTCACATCATTTTGTTTTCTTTTCATGGGTGCAAAAAAAATTGTATTATTCAAATTCAATTGTGAAAGCACTTTTCATTTTTGTACAGACTTTTTGCCAATATTGTAAGTTCAACGGAAAGCTCGACTGATAATGGATTTTAAATTGCAAACACTTACAGCAATGAATTAGTTTTTAGTATTTGAGTTTTTATGATATATCAGCAGATACTCATTTACTTACATACACACTTAACAATTTTTGACGAGGGTCCATGAAATAGGAATTGTTACCAAAATAAGTACTGAACATGATTTGTGAAATGATGACACTGTGTTCAATGTATATATCTTTAGCATTTCTTTTTACTCGTGGGGAAATGTACTTAACAGGAAATGTGTAGAACATGCTTATATTGGCCGGCTGATTTATCAGTCCGTCTCTACCTTTAAGTTTATTTTAACGTTTAATGTTCACACACTACGACACAAACCCAATCATGCTTACAATTAACAAAAAACTAATTCTGCCTTTGCTACTAAGAAAGGACAGCTTTTCACTTCTTCAAATTGAACAAAGAAGTCGTTATTGGTAGCCCATTTTTGCTTCGCCTTTTTTATTAGCTGCACTTCAACATTACTGCTCCAATGAGCACTGAAGCAATTTCAAGGCACCAATAACTGTAATTATCCAGCACCTCCCAGCACTATTTATTCGGAAATGGAGTCAAGTGTTTTTTTTAATATACAGTTTTGTTAATGCAGCAGTGTTGTTGATCAAATTTAGATCCATCAGCCAGACACACCTACTGCATGTTGCAGAACTCTTACCTCTCTCCATCCATTCTCATGTCCAAGGGCCCGTCCTTACTGAGGGAGAAGCCTCTCTGCGCCTCATCCATCTGCATGGAGGAGCAGCCAGCATCCAACAGGACAGCATCAATGCTGCCTGGCTTAATGTTCATGTTGGCCAGCAGGGCTTCAAGCTCGCTGAATCGGCCAAGCAATGGTTTCACACGACCGCTGGAGAAAGGATTAGGGAACGTAATAGAGTTATTAGGCGTTTGTATAGCAATGCATATGGCTGCTGTTTAAATGGATTGGCAAAAAGGAAAATGCTATTTTATTTCAGTGACATCCAGCGTTTTCAAAAATATCGTAGTATTTCATTGTTATTCAGCTCATTGGCAAGGTGAAAGGCAAGGTACGAAACTAGTAATAAAAAGACAATAAGAGAAAAATACATTATTGTATTGTGTGTGTGTGAGTGAAAGATGATTGCCTTTCTGTTGATGTTTTTAGGTAATCAGTTTCAGTTGGATAATAGACATTTTAATATAATGAACTGGTGCTTCATAAACACACAGCAGAGAAAAAAACACCAACATTCAGCATCAAGTCAAGGTAATATTAAGCATTTTAAGCAGACGTGTTCATGGGAAGACCACATGAGATATTTGATTCAATGAAAACCCACAATAGCTCGAGTAACTTTGCAGTCAACCTTTTAAAACTGAATCAGGTGTTTCCTTGGAAGCCCACTAACAGACTTTGCTCGCCTATTCAGATCCTTCCTCGTCACCGACAGAGCAAGACACTGTGTACACAGTCACTTCCACATGCACGAGTGGTGAGATCCTCCAGCCACATTCATGCATTTTTCATATGACCTTTTAACATTGTGTGAACAAAGATGATGGCGGAGGAGAGCAACAGGAGCTATCATCTCTATACATTAGGAGCAAAGGGTCTTCTTCAACCTTCTGCACCCGTTGATTTTAGTGAAGTTATTACTCTTGAAGTAAAAGTGACCAAAAATATCTGATTGTCATTTCCAAATCGGTCATTTTGTACATCACAGAGCCAACAGCAAAAACTAAGCAGCTCAAGTTGACTACAGCCTCCTTAACTGGCACTCAGTACAACGTGAAATCAGTGTGAGGTTAACACGAATCGGCTTTAAAGGCTAAAGTAATATGTTTTAGACCTCAATTATGGGACCTAAACACAGGGAATTCCAGTTCTAGCTATGTCTTAGGAAATACTACCGCTGCTATTGGTGTCCTGTGTCATTCATTCACTCATTTAATGGCATGTAATTAAGTTTGCCTAATATTAAATAAGCCGTTTCCCCCCATGTCTAGCTATTCATAATGACAAATTTGTAAACTTCGCACAACTAAGTCATGGTTCTGTTTCCGTTCTATGGACTGTATTCATGATGGACAGGTTTAAATGAACGGTAGAGAGGGGTAACAATAGCAAAGTGAATGGAAAGTACGATAATATGCTCTCAATTTGCAGTGAGTGATGCAGGAATATAATCTAATTCCCATCTCTTATATATCAATAGTGCAATTCAGAATGCAATTTTTGTCTTCATTTGCAAAGTGCCATACCTTCTGCATTATTCACTATACACAAGCAACAAATGAATCTACAGTATGACCAACACAACATCTGATAGTCAACATATAAACTGCTCTTCGTGTAGGTCAGGCCTACGTGTTATGAGGAAATTACATCTTTATTTAGATATTGAACTGTCAAAAAATGGCTTTCAGAACCATCAATCAGAATATAATAATGTTTAACTTCAAGCCTTGTCAACATGTATTACAATTATCATGACACAATTCAAATAAAAAACAACAAAGCATTGCAGAACAATAGGCCTGGTGTGAACATTCATTTATGAAAACTAAATATGAACCGCACTGGCCTTATCAGTATTGTAACAGATCACACAAACTAAAGAGCACACCGACTATGGCTCTACCACTCTAATTGAAATATTTAGATAACTCAAAGCCTCGTTGTTAATCATTCCTGCATCTGCTTCCAGACCGTGGTCGAGAAGCACAGGGGAGACTTTGCTACGCTACTCCTACAACAATGTAACATGTAAACATGTGGGTTGCACTTAAACCCGCCCTTGGCCTTGGCCAACTTCACACAGTAGTGTGTTCAAAGCTTTGCGTGGCGAGACATTTTTAAAGTTGTTTTTTAATCATCTACACCTACTCTCATATGTCACATGGAGCGTAGGGCAGCGTCTGTGCAAGTGAAGCCCGGGGGGCAAAAGTGTTTTCACCCCTCTGGTTGGTTAGATGGTGAAAATTGATCCTTTCATAGCAGCTTTTGCCATTTAAAAATTACATTCTATGAAATCGTGATCGATTAATCGTTCAGCCCTAGGGTGTAGCACTTCCCCAAGATCAATTTGAGAGGTTCTCTTACGCTCAAAATAACAGTTCACCCCCTGTCAGGGTAACAGTCGCTATTAGATAGAGCGGCTTCATAGCTGTTAGCCTTTGTTAGTGTGACTCCATCTATTTCTTGAAAACACACACTTAAGTTGCTACCACTGGTGTTCTCTGAAGTCCATCTCAGGAGGATGTCCCCTGTCTGTGCAATCAATGCAATTTTGAATGTGCTTTGTCATCAATTATTTTGCTAATATTTGTCAAACGCTGAAGATGACTCTCCGCTCTCTACTCTGCAGGAGCTCCTGCAGACCGTATGTCCAAAGGTATGTCTCAAACAAAGTTATATATCTCCAATACAGAAACGACGGGAGTGTTTGTCCATCACAAACACAAGATTCAATCCAAGAGTATGAATCTAAAATGCAGAAAAGAGAGAAGCGATATCTCAATTGAACCTCAATGATACTACCGGTAATATTGCCGTGTATATATATTGCGACGTCTTCGGGCAGTAGAAGCCACACGTCTTGCAAAATGTTCTCGTTGACTTTACCTATTGCTGGAAGAACTGTATTGATACCAGTAAGCAGCATCGGTATAAATACAGGTATCGATAAAATACAGGTATCGACAACCTTCCCTTTTGAAAAACATTTTAGTATTTTTGATATTTGCCCCTTTTATGTGGACAACAATGACTCCGCCTTTCTCATGATTAACGAGGGGCATGCAAGGAAAGAACACAAATTGGCAGGTCCTCTATTTCAAAACCCACTGAAGACAAAATGGCAAGGGAGCATCTCACCCACGCTGCAAGGGCCTTCCTTTGCTTTTCTGTTGTTATTCACCATCCTGCCCCGTGATTGATTTGTTGAAAAATCTATAGTAAAGGCTTTGTTGTTCTCTCCCATCAACTGCGCGAGCCTTTTCCTTTACTTCCTCCTCACTAACACTCTACCTATTTTTTTGGTGACAGATTACAAACTTTTTATTTCATTAGTTTTCAAAAAACTTTTTGGGTTCTTTTCTTTTCAAGCATTTTTACTGGAGGTCAAGCTGTGTGGTGCGGATGATTATCTTGTTACCTCGAGGCTAGTTGCTAACATACAGCAACAACAGTTTTTTTGTTTTTGGAAAACAGCTCCGTCCCACTGCTTGAAATGATGAGACAGAACAGAGTTGTAAATGAAAACAAAAGAAATGCAACTTTAAAGAAACTGTAAAGGGACTTTACGGTGGGGGCAAAAAAAGGTTAACGTGAAAATCATGTGATTCTTACCCTCTACATTTCTGAATTGGTTTACAAATGTCTAAAATCTGTGTTTGTGTGTTAATTACTGTAAGTTGACGGATTCTGAATCAAATCATGTCATTTCTTCGATGAGAAAAATATGAACAGTGATGATTTACTTAAATCTGAAAGATTACACATATTGAAGAGCAGTACGTTTAGTCAGTTCAAGTCAATTTCCAAATATCAATAAATTGTTGGTTTCACAGATGCTGGAATCAAGCGGGTCATTTGACCACATTTAACGCGGATAGAGGGTGCTCGCTTGAAATACAACACCTGTAGTCAAGCAACTGCTTGCAGAAGGTCTTGTCTTGGTCGAGCCAGGCCTCTTCCTCAACAACACGCAACGAAGAGACATGAACGGCCAAAAGAGAAAACTGGACCAACACCATATCTTCCACGCAAAATAGGAAACAGAAAAGGCAAACCTATGTGTTAAATGTGCCTGGAAACAAAATTAGCCCCGAAGGATTTCAACTTGAGTTGTCACTACAACATTACGCACAAACTCAAATATGTAGACCAGAGCTGCCAGGGAAAGCTGCTTGAGAGGGGGACCTATCAATTGCGTACCCTTCTTACAATAACTTTATAAGACAAAAAAATAAAAAACACAACTAGGTCTATAACAGGTACAACACCATGGCACAATTTGTGACACAAAAACAATTTGTAAAACTAATAATTGTACATTTACAAATTTACACTGCCAAAAGGCTGCGAGCAAGCAGCATAACTGCGTCTTCAGAACTTGTGTCCAAGAGAAGAGCTGTGTCTGGAAGTTTTTTTGGTTTGAAAAAATACGACATAGCCACCATTGTTGCCGTCGCCTCAGCACAAAATGTGATGGAATACAGAGAGTGTGACTATGGTCATCGGATTCGAGGCCATAAAACAGCAAAGCCAAAGTGTCAAACATCGCTTCAAGAGGCATTTGCCCAAGGCACTGCACATGGTCCCGCTACAGGCAGTCGAGAAAGACGGGTACAGAGCAACGAATAAAACACTGGATTCAAGGTATGTTTTGCCGGGGCAAAAATACTTCAGCCAAACTGCTATCCCAACATAATACCAGCTACATCGACGTACAGTCGCCCACTGACCTGTTGTCAGTTTATAGTGTTCATACAACTATCTGAAAAGATTTTGGTTTTAAGAGAACGTTAGCTTCAAGATCTTTTTTTTTATTCATGCAGTTTGCACAATAAGAACGTTTACATTCTGCACTGTTTCATGCATTCTGGTATCTTCATGTATTGTATAATTCTTGGGGGCCAAGAAAACCCTATAGTAATTTAAGCCTTCAGTTTATACATGATGTCATTAAAATGTTTTTCATATTCCTGACCACAGAATAAGCCACCATAAACCTACATAAAGGCCCAGTCAGGCAACAAATAGAAAACATATTACTGTGATATACCACGAAACCGCTAGAATCGTACCTTTGCGAACTAAAGTCAGACCTCTTTCAAGCAAAGGGAATTCCATTTTGGAGGCGACTACCCGCGTCCCGCTTT